CACAAACATTCACTAGTCCTGTTGGAGTAAAGTGAGCAGATTTCTACATGTGCTACACAGTTTGTCAAAGTATTACCAAAAAGTCATTAAAGGCTGGAACTTTCATGCACATGGCATTATTTGATGGAGAGCTTAACGATGAGGTTAGAGTATGTGGTCATCTCCCCTGCTACTTCTTTACTAACTGCCGGTTCTAAGACTTTTCCAAGTGTGTTGTGCGTTTACTTGGGGCTGGGAGCTATAGCAGTGCTGGCCCTTCGCCACATCGACATTCAGTGCCTTGTTGGCCATTTGGTTTTTATGGTTCTGTCGCCTGTAGCTCAGATGCAGGCCACAGCTCGATAGCAACAAAGCAAATGCTTCAAGGAGACGGTAGTTCAGATAATTTGCAAAGGGAAGTAAAATAGATTTTCCAGCTAGTTCAACAGAACCCTGAAGTCAAAAGGAAATCTGACAGTAGACCTACCCTTGAGTTTGTTAGCGCTCTGGGTGAGTTTCTGCCTCACTAACAGACAGAGGCTTTTTTCTTCCACCGTTTGAAAACTGGTTTAAAAAGGCCTGACCAGACAGGTGTTTCATTGCCAACTCTTCATGCAGACATTAATCTAAATTTTAAAAGAGCTTTAGCAAATAAGGCTTCTTTTCGTATAACTTTTCGGGACAACAGACCGCCCTGTCTTCTGAAATAAAAAGGCTTTCTTCTGGGTTTCGAGTGTCCTTTGCTTTCATAACTTGGTGACGAATAGGCTAGTGATAGGAACTCTGCCCAGTTCCTTTAGAACACTACCTACTTTTATTCACCTAATAGGAGCTCGGGGAACTTTAGCCCTTACTTAAAGACAATAACACGTTTTTCATCTGCCTGCCTTTGTGCGTGACAACATTACGTTTGTTGGAAAAGTTCAGAGCTGTCAGTGGCTAATGCCAGATACCCAGTTTCTGACGTAGGTGCTGGGAGTAGGTCAGAAAGCTGCTCGGTTTGATTCCTCTCTCGCAGAAGGTACATCTGGGAAGGTGAGGACTGACTGTCAGCCCCAGCTTTAACGTTCATAGAGGCGGTGGAAAAAGTGTGCGGTGACAAGAATCTGCAACGGGGACTGACACCAACATCAGTTCACTTCTTGGCATAAGCAGCTCAAACACTTGGGCGTGGGGACGGGGGAAGGCACTGAACGGAAACGCACAACTAAGTAAAGGGGGGGCCGAGGGTGACGGGTAGGAGTGTGTGATGGGGGGTACAGGCATCAATCAGGCAGGTGCTGTGGAATATTCTGGCAAACAGGGTCTTTATGATTGTTACAGTTTAAACGGTTTGGAGCCTGAAAGTTGTTCCTTTTTAAAAAATATATTTCATTAAGTAGATGCCTTTTATCATTTCAGTAAATGGCATTCAAAGAGGCTCCCTGCAGCAGGGCAGGCAGATAAGCCCCCCTTTTTCGTTTCTTTTTGTTCCACTGTGGACATTAAAGTGTGTTTATAGAGTTATAAATGAGGAGGTTTTGCAATTCTTGGCATTAGAAAGACAAACTTAAGCTGTGCTGAGTTTACCCCCTCGATGAAATATTGAGATTTGCACTCAGGATGACCCTGGCTAGAATGGGATAGAGTACTGCAAGGTCTGCAATCTATCTCTACAAAACTGGGGAAGGAAAACACACTTTGTATTTGTAGCACAGGACAGTAAATAAAAACACTGAATGAGTCCAGACAAAACTGAACAGAGTGGTCAGCTGACAGTCATTTTTGCTTTCTAGTAATTCAGCCCTGGCCTGGTTTCCCCAGCCTTCTAGAAATGACCCAGAACCTAACATTGTTAAGTATTGCTCAAGAAAATTTCTTGCTGCACTTCAGCAAACTCAGCCAAGAGCATTGATTTTGTGACTGAACCGTCAGCCCAGAAACCTTCCTTCGTTTCTGAGGGTGAATCTCAAGTTGAGCTGTGTTACTATAGGCTGCGTTACATCCCTGCAGCAGCGTTCTCTGAAAAGCTGTACTGGGTGCCACAGAAACGGAACGCTTTTACAAGTAATCAACAGCGAGACGTCAGGAAAAAAGGCATGGTTCTTCCCTGGTAGATTCATTGACAATGAAATCTAGAATGCAGTGTAGATTAAACTTCTTTTTATCCACTGGAGTTACTCATCAAAACCATTTTGTTCTTTTACAGTAAACAACCTACAGTGTGTTAATTTGCTGGAGAACATGGGGAAATCAAAGCAATTTTCATACAACATGAGACCAACCACTGCTGCAAAATCAAAAAATACAAAAGCCAAGCACTAAGCAAAACTGAAGGTTTGGAATTTAAAAAAAACCATTCTGGTACAACTATTATCTTTCATAATGTACACTTCTCCAATTATGTATTATCTAAGTACTGCATGCAAAGCAGACTGCTAAGGAGTTGGACTCATTTTATTTTGTGTACAAATTAGCTTTTAAATGCAACTGTTAATTTATTACTGACAGGATGAAATCTGAACTGCATTTGGAAACAGAAAACTGAGCATTAAGCCCAGCATTACAATAGAGTTGCAGAGGCTCCCAATTTTTTCTGTTGTCAAAAGTAGGAATTTTGAATGTGTTCATCAAATGCAGTTTCAAAAGAGAGGGAAACTGTACTAAAGATGTAACAGTTCTCGAAGACTGCTGTTCAGTTTCATCTCCGATATAATAAGTGTAATTCAAAATATAAACAGGAAGAGAACAACAGCCTTCACGCTACACTTCGGTACTAAAGGAACAATTGTTTCTCAGCTAGCTATGGATTTGGAAGGAGAAGGTAGAGATGTTGACAAAAACTACTCAGTAAGTAAATTCCTTTCCATAGACTATGGAAATTTTTAGGAGTGTGTTTTCTACCCTTTGAAATGATCACTTATTTCTTCCATGTTAATAACTATTTTTATACATGCACAAAAAGAGTTTCTACAGAGCCCAAGAAAAGATGGGACCTATTTTAGAAGAAAACTTGTTCTTATAATAGCTTCAGAGGTGCTCACCTACAGTATTTACCTTGCACAAAGTATTTAAGAATATGAACTCAGCAAAATAAAATAATGTTACCCTACTTTCAAAGTATCTTGTTTTCTATTTTTTTCTTCTAGCTTGTATTACGTAATTCTGATTCTTTTAATTAATATGCGCTTCAAAATAGTACATGATTGAGTCAGTAAAAGTTTGTTTCTCTGCAAGCACTTAAGCTTCAACGAGACCAGATTTTCTTTTAACACCCCTCACTGTGGTCACCACATCTACTGAAACAACTCCCAGGACTGTCGACTTACTTGAACAAAAAGGCAGCAGAGATATGCAGTTCTCTGTAAAATTTTTATTCTGTTTCACTTACAAAAAAAATTGACAGGCTTTGTTCCAACATCTTCCATTCAAAACTAAATAGAAGTAAATGCTTTACAATAAATGCAGTTCGACCTCTTTTAATACACAGCGTTCATCGAGCCAGGTCCCTGGGAATGAGAGGCAAGGTAGATGTTGAAACAGTAATGGAGGTCTGTTAGCCACTGCTCTTGAACTTACTAGAAAGAAGGGGGGAGGGGAAAGGTAAAACTCAATTTCATCAACAGCACTTGCAAAGCTTCGCTTTGTTTTCCCAGCTTATCAGGTGCGCTGGGAAAGGCACAAGCTGGCCTCGTTCACCTGTGCGCAGCGACTCCATTCTTCGCACTTGTACATTTCGACATGGTCTGTCTGTTTAAGCCCAAACAATAGCTGGGCTTGGTACGCTAAGTCCGTGTTACATCATGAAGTGTGTAACTTACACCAGCTGTGATTTCCTTACTCTTAATTATAGCGGTTTGCTTGCGATTCTGCAATTTATAGTCATTTAAAATGCAAATGAGCATGGTTCTGCTAAAGCAGGAAAGCTCCAGACTCCAGGCTAGAGGAGAACTGCTACCAGCAGACCAACATAGCCCACGGTCCAGTAATTCACTCTCCTTAGGAAACCAAACACAGTAACAAACACAACCCAGCCACCGCAGAACATGGCAAAAACTGGATGAGGCACTTTGAACACCGAAGGAAAGCAGCCTCTTCATTCGCTGTTGGAGAACCTGCACAACGCTCTCTTACATCAGCTTTTACCACCATGGACATCATGTTTCTGGTAAGAGACCATTTAAAAGCTACTACTGGATACGCGTGGCTTGCTCATTCAAACTGGTGTGCCGTACAAACTCTGTGCACTCAAAAAACTAGTAAAGAGCTTTGTGCAAAGGCGGGTTCAGATTTTTTTCCTGAAAAGAGGAGCAAACTGTAATCACCTCAAAACAACTGGAAAGAAGAGGCTTGAATAGAAGCGCTGGGGTTTACAATATTGGAAAGAGAATGTATTTTGCAGCGTGTATGTTTAAGAGTTTGTCTGAGTTAGGAACATCTTTGTACATCTATATATCCCTACTCCAGTAAAAAAGAAACGACTAGTTTCTGATTTCTGGACAGCTCTCCCTTGGACAGGCTGTGTAGGTAATCTGCTTCCAGTGCATTTTTTTAGGAAGCCTACGTGTCCAGGGCCCAGAACTGGGTACAAACTGAACTTCAGAACTGTCTCATCTGTGCAACAACTGGTGGAGCTTGGACAAGCAGCTCCCCCTGCACAGCCTGGTTTTCCAAGACAAATCAAAGACAACTCCCTAACTTGCCTTTTGCTAAGCATCTGTTCTTTGCCTTTGCAATAACTTTTAAGCCTCATATACTCTTGTAATCTGGGGGAGACAACAAGAAGTTTCCTACCATGATGTCCTTGATGATCTGTTGCACCAGGAATTCATTTGTGATCATATGGCTCCTGAGCTGACCGTGTTGCATCAATATGCGAAGCAACTGAGCGACAACGGGCAGTTCTTCCCGACAGATCCTGCTCACTTGGAGACTCTGCAGCATCAGCCTCAGTAATCGTGGCAGGAGTGCTAACGCAGAAACGCACGAGCCCCACAGCAGATCCCTGAGAGGAGAATGAAAACTGAAATGAGTGAGGACACATATTTCGAAGTGTGCTTCTGTGAACTGGCCTCACAGCTGCACAAGGAAACGTGCCTCTGCAGATTTGGTCGTGTTCTCTGCCCTCACTGTAATTAGTGCCGAAGCAGAAAATCTGTACCAGAAAATGCTACACTTGAAAATATTCTAAAATTACATGAAGTGCTGAAAAGAAAGTATCCTGCCCAGGAAGTACAAATGTTGCTGAGCCTGTTCTACAGTGTAATTTCTGTGTGATGCAGCTGGGAAGAGCTGCTTGTTTCAGTCACTGTTCAGGTACACCTGAATAGATATATTTAAGACTCATAAGAAAAATGACAGCATCAGCTCTTTGTGATATGTGAGTCATTAAATATAAAAAGCGAAGGAGGACTCTGGCTTTAAAAACACATCTTAAATTGTAAGTAAGCGTTCAACAACTTTCCCATATATGGAACATTGAGAGGAAAAAATTTGAAGTTTAAACTATTTAAAGACAGGTAGATAAATTTATTTAAATCTGGCATCTGTGGCTTTTTGTTTTTTTACATCAAATGGATTTGCAGTCTACAAAATGATGCCTCAGAAGTTTTGCTAAAGCTGAAATATCAAGTCAGGTAAGAGCACAAACTTATAAAGCCAAATCCTTTGCATGTTGCTTTTCAATGTGTCTAATGAAACTAAAGGGTAAAGCTAAAGATTAAGGCATAAATACCCACCTTTCTAAAGTCAGGATGGTTCTTACTACAACAATTTGAAATGAAACCTGCTTCACTTAGTGTTTGAAATAATTCCAGCTAACCTTCCCGCTGTTTTTCTTAAATCCAAGTACCATTCTGAATCATAGAATCATAGAATGGCCTAGGCTGGAAGGGACCTTAGAGATCATTTAATCCAACCTCCCTGTCATGGGCAGGGACGCCTCTCAACTAGATTTTGAAGTAAGCAAAAGACAACCAGCAAAATAAATTTGGGGGGTGGTATCTTTTAACTTTACATTCCTAAATACATGTAGGTGTAAAGACAGAGACAATGAACATAAAAAAAGCAACATTACCTTTTCTGTACATGTTCTGCATCCTCTTTGTCTAAAGTTAGCAGAAAGTACAGAAGACTGTAACAACACGAGGCTAAGAACTTGTGCAGGTTTTCACTTAGGATGCAGGCTTGATCCAAGAGCTTATTTATGGCACATAGAACAGATCCAGCTGTACTATCAGGTATTACAACCAATCCAACCTGTGTGAAAACAAACAAAAATGCAAGTTCATCGCCTTATACTCGAGGGGTTTTTTTGCTGGTATACGTGCCTAGAGCTGAGCGAATCTCTTTCGTATCATGACATCTATTCTTTTGGTTTCTGTTCACACAGTTCCACACACTATTGTGTTTTTTTCAAATCCTTGTTTTCCTAAAAAATCACAGCCCATAGTGACAGAAGGTTAAACCTGCACCTTCATTCCCTCCCCTCTAAACACTCATCTCAAACATATTTTAAAAAAACCCAGCAGCCAAAAACCAACGCTGCTTTGAGCCTTGCTCTGCAAGATGGTCCAGGCACAATCAGCATCCTTTGGACAGAACAGGGCTTTCCTTTTAAGCATCTGTCAAAGGACCGAGCAGCCCTTCCATGTCTGGAACTGGCAGCGAGCAGTCACTGAGGTGGAAGGAAATGCAGATTTACTTTCCATAAAGAAAAGCTCCTACTGGATTGTCATCAGAGAGCATCTCCTTAGAAATCTAACAGGCTTGACAGGAATAAGAGCACTAGGAGCCAAGCTGAATTAAGGCTCATGGTGGGCCCGCAGCTGAAGCGATACTCTTCTGTTGTTAACAAAAGAACATCATCTCAAGTAAGGATTTTGTAGGCATGATAAATAATTTAGTTAAAAAACCACTTTCTTTTTTTTGCGTAGAGGCAGTGAATTAGGAAGCAGTTTAAATTCTGAAGTGCTACTGAGTAACTATCCTAGATTTTTGTCCTTTAAAGCTGTGAAAAAAAAAATCATGCATTGCTAATATGGCAATATTTAAGGAGTTTTAGAGCAGCCTGATTTGCTCCCCTCTATGTAACGCTGACAGAGGCAGTGGGTTCACTTAACAAGGTCAGCTGTTTCTTTCAGAAATGTTTAGAAAAAGATCAATAAAGTACAAGCTACAGGAATGTGGAACGTATTTCATCGGTATGATTACTCAAGAGAGGTAAAAGATAAAGAACAATGATGGGTTCAGACTTTTAAATACTTCTAATAGAAGACCCTGGGTGCAGGTCAAAGCCATGGGCACAGGTCAATGTCCCAAGCGTA